ATATATATATATATATATGTATATATATATATATATATATATATATATATATATATATATATATATATGTATAAATGTATATGTATATATATATATATATATATATATATATATAATATATGTGGTGTGTGTTGTGTGTGAGTGTGTGTGTGTATGTATAAAATGTGTATATAGTTTATAATATAAAAAAACTGCAAGTCTCATGTGTGTGTCTGTGTGTGTGAGTGTGTGTGTGTATGTATAAAATGTGTATATAGTTTATAATATAAAAAAACTCTGCTTTGCAAGTTTCAGTTTCCAGAGTACTACCATTGTTTACAATGTTGTTAATATTTATAATTTAGGAAGTATATTAAATATTAATATAAAGGATGTCATATATATTAAAAGGCAAATAGTAATGTTAAAAGCTCTGCCTATTTTCTACTGTATGATGCAAAATCCAAATTGGTTACATCTTAGACCCAACAGTTTGTGAACTTCTTAAATCTTCAGCAAAGTGAGATTTGAATGTATTCCAGTCCTGTGTTGGTCATTTATCAAAATGCTCCTTTAACACGCTGTCTCCATCTTCAGTCCAAGGACAAGATGATGCGTGGCTCTAGAAGAGGCTGTGTGCGACTTCGGGTAAGAAGTTTTCTTTATTGTTAAAGCAGGACTAGGTTGATTCTTACTCTTTTTTTTTTTTTCTTTCCCCCGTAGTCTATCATTTCGGTCTGTGCTTGTCCTCATTCTGGCTTTTATTCTTGTTTAGTTATGTTAATTTAACCCTAGCTGCTGTTGAGAATCTGCCATCAGGATATTATAGTATGGATGTAGAATTTCAAAAAAGGATGTGACTTGTTTTTATTCCATATGCTTTGTATTGTTATTTGAGGTAGATTGCATCTAGTAATGAGTCTAAGGTCTTCCTTTAGGTGTCCCTGAAGGTTTTCAACATCAGATTTAGTAAAACATTTCTGTGTGCTCCTCGCTTTTAGTATACAGTGATGCTAAAACAATAAAGAGCCCTCCTCAAGCTGTTGCAGCAATTCTTTAGAAGCTCTTTGTATACCTCACCTATTTAAAGGGGTCCTATTTTGCTTTTTCACTTTTTCAACTTTAGTTAGTCTGTAATGTTGCTGTTTGAGCATAAAAGAGATCTGCAAAGTTACAAAGCTCAAAGTCCAATTCAAAAGGAGATATTTTATTTAACAGAAATCACTTTTCAAAAACTACAACGAATGACTCGTTTGGACTACAACGCATATTTTCCGGGATTTGTGATATCACAGATATCGACGAATGGGGATGAGACCTGGTTGAGCTGCACTAGAGAAGGCAACGAGTGTTATCATCACTATGTCGGAGACACGCTAGCTTTCCCAAGGCAGACGAACTTAGTGTGGTTACAATCATCCGGGTTTAAATCGTGCTCAAATTTATTTGATTTTGGCGCAATATTTACACTGAAGCTCAATATGTATATGTATATGTATGTATGTATGTGTGTGTGTGTGTGATATACAGTATAGGACTAATTATTTATAGTATAAAATACTGTATGTGATTGATTTTCCAATCACTTCCATGGCCACAGGTGTATAAAATCAAGCACCTAGGCATGCAGACTGCTTCTACAAACATTTGTGAAATCACTATGTCGGAGACACGCTAGCTTTCCCAAGGCAGACGAACTTAGTGTGGTTACAATCATCCGGGTTTAAATCGTGCTCAAATTTATTTGATTTTGGCGCAATATTTACACTGAAGCTCACAGCCGCTTGTATGTGATTGATTTTCCAATCACTTCCATGGCCACAGGTGTATAAAATCAAGCACCTAGGCATGCAGACTGCTTCTACAAACATTTGTGAAAGAATGGGTCGCTCTCAGGAGCTCAAGCATGGTACCGTGATAGGTTGCCACTTGTGCAGTAAGTCCATTCGTGAAATTTCCTCACTACTAAATATTCCACGGTCAACTGTTAGTGGTATTATAACAAAGTGGAAGCAATTGGGAACAATAGCAACTCAGCCACTGAGGTGCCTCAACCCGATAGAACACCTTTGGAATTAATTAGAACGGAGACTGCGAGCCAGGCCTTCTCATCCAAAATCAGTGCCTGACCTCACAAATGCACTTCTAGAAGAATGGTCAAAAGTTCCCATAAACACACTCTTTAACCCGGCCTTCCCAGAAGAGTTGAAGCTGTTAGAGCTGCAAAGGGTGTGCCAAATCCATATTAAACCCTACGAATTAAGAATGGGATGTCATTAAAAACCTAGTATGAGAGCCTGTTCTAGTACACCCCCAAAACAAAATCAAGACTTTGTAAAGAGCATAATAGGACCCCTTTAATACAAAGCTGTGAAAACTCTTCACCAGCAGATGGCGCACTCTTCACTTTAATATGCAGAGGACAGTTATGAAATATGTACATTTAATGCAGGGAAGAATTGTTATAATATAGCTACAGAGTAGAATTAATGTGTTAAATCTATGGCTGCATGGTATTATGAGTATTTTAGTTGTAGATAACTGCTTAAATACAGAGATAGTAAAAGGTATTATCACCAGGTTTAGTGTTCATAATTCCTGTATGCCAAAAGGATGAAGATGGATGAAATTTCTCTGAAAACAGCTTGCCATTAAATTGCAAATGAAGTGTTAGTTAGAGTTTTTTTTAATCTCCTTTAATGTGAATGTATTGCATAGCTTTAAATAGTCATAAGAAATTGATTCTCCAAATTGCCTGAGAGTGAGCAGTTAACTTAAATCTAAGACAGACGTTAAAAATGCTTAGGGTGCAGACGTTAAAAATGCTTAGGGCGTTGGCTTATTTTTCTCAAGGCCTGTGGTCTGATCTGAGCAGTTATTGCTGTCTTCCTGTCGGTAACCAGTAAATGCACTGCCTGGCACATCTGTATTTTTAAGTAAAAGCTTAGATTTTTTCTTCATATTTTCGGCATTTTCTTACTCAAAACCATGGCATGTTTTCAAACTGCTCTGTTTAATGTTTCATAATGTTAGAAAGGCTTTTAGATTTGTGAATGATAATCTGGTGTGGTAGTACATCAGGTGTGAAAGAGTTAATAGTCGCATGTTTTTCCTCTGGTCCTGTTATACTGAATGTGCTGCAGTTTTTCCCTCACTCTTTCTCTCCGTCCTCCCTTTTCAGTTTCCATCTCCTTCCCCTTTCTCTCTTTTCTTTTTTTCCTCCCTTTTCCGCCTTGTTCCCCTCTCTTTCTCTTACTCCACCCATTCTCTCCCACCCCTTTCCTTCTCTTTCTCTCTCTCTCTCTCTCTCTTCTCATGTGTGTGAGGGAGTGGAGCAGAGGAACTGATAGAAAGAGAGAGGGAGCGAATGACGTGTTCCTCAGTCTGAATGGCTTTCGCTGCGTTCCTTTTTTGCAGGGAGCTGTGATTGGAATCGATGACGAGGACGACAGCACTTTCACCATTACCGTGGACCAGAAGACTTTCCATTTTCAGGGTGAGGTCTCCATTCTCTCGTTCTTCTAGTGCTTTCACTCTCCCTATGCCCTCACCCACTGCTATGTTCCGACACTGTATGCTGTGGCTTTACAGTAAGAAGGGTAAGGTCACGCTCAGCTGGGACTCGTCTGGTTGCGTCTTCTGCCGTGACCGTTTATCATTTGGGTTTGCATTAATGATTAGTTTCAACCGTGCTTTGTTTTTATTTACACCTGGAGTTGGCTGGTTGCTTTAACTTTTGAGCGTTTTATTCGTTCTTAGAGTTGCAGGTTTTGAAAATACGTACTTGGCGGCACTATGTTGAGTATGTTAAGATTGTGGCTTTTTTTTTTTATCAGTGATCGTTTTAGGCTCATTCCATCCTGCGATAAGCTTTCCTCACATAGACTTTCTTCTAGATAGATTTTCCACACATTATTCTCTTTCTCTTTATTAATTTTCACTTTCACCAGTAAAATTCATTACCGACCTGCCAAAGCAGGTATTGGCATTGTGTGTCAGTTGTGCTATGGAATGCCAATCCAAGCCTTTTTAAAAAAACAAAAAAAAAACAAACCCGACCTGCCGTGCCAGATTTCCTGTTGTGTGTTTGCATGTGTGTATTTCAGTGAGTGTAAGTGTGGAGCTCAGTCTTTAGTTCCAACAATCTTTTCATACCATCCACTTCTTGAGATCCTCAGGGACTCATCCTATAGTTCTCATATCTCCATTTCAGCAGGAGTCATTTACCCCACAGCAGAAATGGTTTTGTGCCTCCTGATATCAGTCGACCGGAATCACAGCACAATTTTCTTGTATCTTAGTTATTTTTTAGAGTATTTAGTTTTACAAGGTGCCACGTTGGGTTCAGAATGGTGTATTCTTGAGTAAAGATCTTGTTGAAGACATGAGGTATCTGATGTATGGTGGGCTGAAGCTAACAGCTATTTTGATAACTGATTAATCTGAAGATTACATTCATTGAAAGGGAATACCCTATTCCTATTTTTTCAGTACTTTAAGTGGTGTCAGAGGTTCTCCATTACAGTGCAAAGACCCGACTTACACTATTGTTCAGAATTTTGGGGTCAGGTTATGTTTTTTTTTTTTTTTTTTTTTTTAAAAAATTAAATTTTTTTTTTTTTTTTTTTTTATAAGAGTAAGGTACGTTTATGTAAACTAATATTATAGTGGTTAGTGGTTAATCTGAACTTGCAACCCAAAGTTTCTATACTAGCATTCTAAAGTTTGGGGTCAGTAAGATTTTTTATTTATTTATTTATTTTTAAATGTAATTACATTTTATCATTACAGTGCAAAGACCCGACTTACACTATTGTTCAGAATTTTGGTTTGGGGGTGGGTTTTTTTTTTTTTTTTTTTTTTTTTTTTGAAAGAAAGAAATTAATACTTTTATTCAGCAATGACACATTAATTTGATCAAAAGTGACAGTAAAGACATTTATAATGACACAAAATACTTTATTTAAAGTAAATGCTGTTCTTTTGAACTTCATCAAAGAATCCTAAAAATATGTATCATTGGTTTCTACAAAAATACTGTTTTCATACAATAAGAAATGTTTTTTGAGCACCAAATCAGCATATCAGAATGATTTCTGAAGGAGCATATGACACTGAAGACTGGAATAATTCAGCTTTGGCATCACAGGAATTAATAACATTTTAAGATATATTCAAATAGAAAATTGTTATTTTAAATTGTAATAATATTTCACAATATTACAGTTTTTACTGTATTTTTGGTCAAATAAATGCACCTTTGGTGAACATAAGAAGCTTCTTTCGAAAACATTTGAATGGTAGTGTGTAATCAAATTTAATCAAATTATAAACAACTACTATAAAAGATGCTGGATTTGTCTGATCTTCTACTGTTTCCTATAGTGTGGTCTGTTTGCAAATGGCTTTGCTTTTCTTCGAACAGATTACCATTTTTTTGCATGTCGGTCTATTAAAGTTTGGCTTTGCGATGCTAAAACGTGGTGACTGTGATTTCACCAAGTACAACATGTTCCTGGAACAACATTCCTATCAACCAATCAGAATTGAGGGATAACTTTTCAGGAAATATCTGTTTTAGGCTTACAATCAGGGTTAGGTGCTTCTACACCCTTGTTAATCAGCTATCGTTTCACACTGTTTTTAGGAATAAATTATGGGTAGGGTTAGGTTTAGGGTTAGGGATTGGGTTAAGTCTATATTTTTGTACAGTTATGTTGATCCAGGATCAACAAATGATGTTGATCCAGGAACATGTCTTACTTGGCAAAATCACGGCGAACCTAAAACGTTGTTCTGATTTTGCAGTGTTTGTGGTAAGTGCAGGGTGGAGTGATTTATAAAGTGTGATGTGTTCAGGTTAAACTTAAGCAAAACTCTGCTTTGTTTTTCTTGTTTCAACATGAAACATCATCAGTATTGTAGCAGGCTGCCCACTGAGCTAAAACCAAAAAACATGCTGCTAAGATGTTACAGGGTAGAAAGAACAAAACCTTGCGCTAGAAATGCACCTGCTAAATGAAAATATGGTGTAAAGAACACTCGCAGGACAGTAAAAGCCATGTGAGCTTGAAATTTCATAGCGGTGAATGTAAGAATATAGTTAACCTCCCCACTCAGCAAGGTACATTTGAGAATTAGGTGAGTTTGACCGGTCAAGACGGGTATATATGGAGAGGTTTGCACAATGTCGGCCAGAGAGACGGCTCAGAGGAACTGTACTTGCTATTTAGAGGGCCATCCATAATTCATCATACTCCTCTGTGGCCCAATATCAGTCCGGCCTGAAAGCCCCTTTATTTTCTAAAAGCCTCTACCTGTCTTCCTCTCAGACACTTGACTGCAAAAAAAAGCAGTTAAAAGCTTCCAGTGTCATACACTGAGCTCCTACTGGCAATGGATCAACATTCGCATTCATGCTCCAGAGGGGAAAGAAATAACAGAGAGGGAGAAAAGAAGTGGAACAGTTGCATAGAGGAAGAATGAGCTACTGGTGTGTGTTTTTCTTTCTGTCGTCAAACTCTCATGTTTCCGCAGGATAGAGCTGGCAGTGGAAAGATGCAGGGAGTCACATGGAAGCTGCAGTGAGTTTAGTAGAGACTGCAGGAGAGCACACACACACACATGTGCACTCTTCCAAAACCTACTGAGCTAAGCAGCATTTTAAATCTCTTTCCCAGTACAAAGCCTTTTTCAAACTATAGATATAAGGCAGCTCACTATGTTTTCTGGACAGATGGACACACACCAGGGATGCACAATAAATCTGTACTACATCTAACTATATTTCCCCAATTTTTACATTTAGATGACCATTTCCATCATCTAATAGTCACTTTAAGTTAATCTTTGAAATACTAAGTTTAACAATAATGTTAAAAGCAAGTCTATAAACATTAGGGTCCATTTTTTCATACTGTACATTATAATAAAACGCTTGAGTAATTTTTAAGTTTATTTTAGTGTTGTTTATTATTATTATTATTGTTTGTAATTAAAAATAGTATACTCTAGCATTTAAAAGTTTGGGGTCAGTTAGCGTTTTTGTTTTTGCTATTATTCAACCAAGATGCATTAAATCAATCAAGAATTACAGTGAAGGCTTTTACATTGTTTCAAAAGGTTTCTGTTTTGAATAAATGCTGTTCTTTTGAGCTTTCTATTCATTTATCGAAAAATAAGCCGCACCGTTTTAAACATTGATAATGCTGTGATAACAAAATGAGCACCAAATCAGCATAAAATGATTTCTGAAGGATTATGTGACATTGAAGACCGGAGTAATGGCTGCTGAAAATTCAGCAGAAAACAGTTATTTTAAATTGTAATAATATTTCACAATATTAATGTTTTTACTTTATTTCTGATCAAGTAAATGCAGCCTTTTGAGCATAATAGACTTCTTTCAAAAAGAAACTTTCTTACAAAAATCTTTCAGACCACAAACTTTTGAATGTATATAATTTTAATATCAACCATGTATTGAATATTGACCATGACATGTAAATAATTTATTTGTGTCAGCCAGATTTTTTTAAATTATCATTGCACCCCCAACACACACACACATTCTTTTGACTCCTCCGACTGTTACTCTTTGCTTCACCATCCTTTAACATCTTGTAGTAGCTTAGTGACAAGTCTGGTGAAAACATCCTGCTGTTTTACAGCAGCTGCTAGTGTGTAGCAGAAATGTCTTTAACGTTCACTACGTTTAAAAGGATTTGTGTAAATGATGAGACAATTTGTTTGAGTGCTGAAGTTTCTCTTTTTCTCTTGCATACAGCTGTAGTGTCGTTAGAAGGGCACATTGCATAAGGTGCCCTCATTCCAGACTGAAGTCCGCCATTGCTCTCCAGAAACACACTCCACCTTTCTTTCAGTATATAGGGTAGAGATGGGGAGGGGAGCAACTAAAAACTGAATTACATTGTGCAAAATAGGTAATGAAATAAGTTAGCTCTCATGCATTTGCTCAAAGAACATTCAGTTCAAGTAAACAGCAGTTTAAGTGTCCATTTCTTTGATGATAATTGCATTACATTGTTTATGATTTAATTTATATTATTAAATATATATTGTAAATGTATAATTTATTGCTGTTATTAATAATAATAATAATAATGATAACATTTTTTATTTCCTATTCTACTCAGGGTTTTGCTGTTGCTGTAGTCTTTAGGTCAATGTTAGTATGCCCTCATTGCCAAATAACGGACAAGTGCAGTGTTTTGTAATCAACTCAACTACCTCACCTAGTGAAATCTCATTGGCTAGCGAGTGGAGGTAGCCTGGCATCATGCGTCATGTGATCTCTGCTCCGGTGTCAGTAGCGCAGGGAGGGGCCATGTTTGTTTTGGACAGTGAGTCTCACACGGATCTGGGACATTGATTTCAAGCATGTTCCATAGATGTAGGATGGCTTTGGTGGTCCTGTGCAAACACTAACTCTGCTGTATTTTATAAGCAGGTAAAAAGAATTAAAAGTTATTTTCTTGAAGATATTAAACCATTTGTATCGTTGATATTTCTGGTTCAGGTGTATAGATTAGATCATTAACTGATTCCATGGATGTGTAAATTGTGATTGTATGTGTCAGATCTTCTTTGTGCTTCTGAAAGCTTTTAGATTTTCTGCTGAGCTTTGGACCTTCATCCATCGAAGTGTCAGCTATATGTTATGTTTGGAGTGCTGTTTCTCATCTGTTCCCTGAGGGAATGGTTAAATGAATGGCTAATGGCTGTTAGTGAGAGAGAGAGAGTTTTAGGCTAATATTTGTCTATACACTTTGTGGTAACTTCTCAGGCCTACTTATAGTACTTTTTAAACTGACAATTTACCTCATGCCATGTGATGCTTTTTGAATTTCTTTCTTCTGTGGGGCACAAAAAAGATATGTTTTGAGGAAGGTTCACACTGCTCTTTTACATACAGTGGAAGTGGATGGTGAACAGTGGCTCTAAAGCCCCTTAAAGCACCATAGAAGTGGTCCGTACAGCTGTTGCTCTATATTTTAAGTCTTCTGATGTCATATGGTAGCTGTGTTTGAAATACAGACCGAATTTAAGTCATTATTTACTGAAAACCATCTCCTTCACTGAAGCTCATAAATCTTATTCTTGCGTGAGTATCAGGTTTGATTGTGTGTAAACATCAATGAGAAAGTTCAATGGAATGAATAAAATCGTGTTTTAAACAACATGAAGGTGAGTAAACAAATACAGAATTTTATTTCAGGTCAACCATCCCTTTAAGGGTACATCAATTTGTTGACCTGACTGTTAGAAACTCCTACTTGTATTTTATGCTGTAGGCTTTATTGTTTTATGCTTGATTTATAGATCTTTTGAAGCACAGAGGCTGTGTTTTTAGTCAGACCTGGGCTTTTCTGAAATTTCATCCTTCTTTTCTATAAGAAACTCCGCCACAAGTGTTATTTACCAATCGTATTTACACAAGGGCAGAGGCTTTCATTTGTGTGTGTTCCTGTTTAACTTAAACCACAACCCTGTCTTGTCTTCGTGAAACTCGACAACAGAGCTGTAGTTACCCCTGTCACTTTTACAGCTCCACGGCAGGGTCATTCTCCACTCTCCATTTCACATGACGTGTGTGGTCCATTTGCTTATTACTAATGGGTGTGTTTTTGGATATTTCCCCTTCAGCCCGTGACGCAGATGAGCGGGAGAAGTGGATTCATGCCTTAGAGGGGACGATTCTTCGCCACACCCTTCAGCGGGTAAGAGCCACATCAAGTCCACATGTACTACATGTATGATCTCAGAGAGGTGTAATTAAAATAAAATAAAGACCTTATGATTTTTTTTTTGTGACATTTTTTTAACCTATACTCCTCACATGTATAAAGTTGTTATTATTATTGTTGTTGTTGCAAGTATTGTTTATTGCAATTAAAAATATATTTTAAATTAGTTAAAAACAATTTTTTTTATTCATTTTACAAAAAGGGGTGTCCTCCCATTGGCTGTCACTAGGAAAGCATAATGTGTTTTTAATTAGAGTATGTGAAATATTTGCTTTTCTAATGATCTGAAAACTACAAAAAAGTCCTGAAGAGGAGCTCTGAGTGTATTGAATGCGCTAGACATGCCCACCTGCTCTGTACCAATGGAGGAAACCAGGACAGGCTGAGAAAAGCATGCAGCTTTAGTTAGTTTTTTTTCCCATCTTGTAAATAATTTTATGAATTTTTCATGCTTACTTTCTTCCTCTCCCTCTGTATTCTTTCCCTCATCCTATCCTCTCAAAGATCTATCTGTTCCTTCTGTACCTTAACTCTACGGTTATTTATTCATTTTTTTTAACCTGCTGACTGGCAGCTGCGTGTACCTACACGCAGAATGTGCGCAGCTATCCGGTCACATGATCTCCAGCAGCCAATCACAGCTTTGCTTATTCAGCCAGCCCCTCCCGTTCAGCAGATGGTAGATCCAATCACAGCACTGTATTGTGTTTTCTACAGTCTGTAGAGCTTATGCTACTTTTTCTTCTTTTTTTTTTTTTGAGGAAGTCTCCTGTTCCTGGTCAATAGTGGTTTATAGAACTGCTCTGAATCAGCCGGCAAGCTAATAGGTATTTGTTCACCTTTTTCGCCCCTCCTTTAGAGGAGGAACTTACAGGAAAGGGTGTTTTTCAACTGATATTGAAAGTGTTTCTATGAGTGTGGGTCAGATTTGTGGAGGCATGTCCTGCAGTGGCAAGAACCGAGTGAGTATCTTTGTTGGAATTTACTGATGCGTTAAATCATGCTGTGTGTGTGTGTTGTGTGTGTGTGTGTGAGTGTGGACAGGTAGGGGTGGGTGGGTATGTTCACGAAGGTAGGGAAGCATTTGCGTGTGCAAATAGAGAGGCCATGGGTCATACTTGAATGCGTAGTTACTTTTCTGCTAACTTGAGATTTGCAATCTCAGCCACATCATGTGTGTACGGTCTGTGCTGACATAATAGAGCACATGACTTTAATTCAGACTTGTGTGTTTGCTTTTCAAATGTCTCACTGGTGTGTTTGTTGCCTAAAAAGGCACAACGATAGCCTATACACCCCAGGTGGCTTAGTTGATTCACACTGAAATATTCTCTGCAGTTGTGTTGGATGTTCAGATTTTCTGCTATGAGTCAGACTGAAAGAGTGAGTCAATGGGATCAGCTTCCTGTCTTGAGAATCTGTGTGTTCAGTTGTGTGTTAACAGCTCATCGTGCCATGGCTTTCTTATGCCAGGCACAGGATAAAAATAATTGTAATGCTCTCTTGGAGGTCGCAAATGCTTATTAAGAGGTATTTTGGCAATTTGTTCATGCCAAAATAGCAGATCTCAGGGCTGCTGGGAGGTGAGATGTTTATGGTGCCTGTAGGATATGATCAAGCATACTTAACTAGAGAATTGCGGGTCAGTTCCCAGGGAATATGCATTTCAATAAAAGCGTATGCCGGATATATTAACATATAGCAGTTAAATCACACATCTGTTTGTCCCTTAACCAGAAATTGTCCCATTTGTTTTTTTTTTCACATAGAAGAGCAGTAGTACAACTGTTAGGATGCTAGTTTGCCAGAAACATACACTCTAAAAAATGCTGGGTTAAATATAACCCAGCGCTGGGTTATATTTAACCCAGCATTTTTTAGAGTGTACTGTAGTATTAGCAAAGGTACGCAAAAGCAATGCTTGGCAAGGTAAGCAGCCTGTTGAACATCTTTGTTTGTTTGTTTGTCTGTTTATTTGATAGGGACAATGCATGTTAATGAACATTTGTATAAAATACAGAATGTAAACAAGCTAGGTTATCAACATTGCTAATTTACATCCGCAGTCCCTAGGCAGGTGCACACAAAAACACATACTCAAATATACATACAAACATCACATAGGAAACAAAATACCCCAAATAAAAAACATTACTTAAAATGGTTACACGACTGTTTTGTCATGAGCCACTTTTTAAAGTGATTTTTGAAAGTATGATAAGTGGAAGATTGTCTTAATGACTGCGGCAGGCTATTCCAGTATCGAATCCCTATAATAATATGCTATTGTATCCACTACTGTTGCTCCGGCATGACCATAGTTGACCTGAAAGAGAAAACTGACCGTCTGTCTGATATAATGGCTCTTGTGGCAATGCTTAAAATGTGAAGTATATTTGCAAATTGTGTTACGAGTTGTCACAATGCTTTAGGCTTTCATTCCAGCTGTTAATAAATCCTGCCGTCATTGTTTAGGGAGTTCGTTTTAGCAGGACAGAGTGCTTTATAAAAGCCCTCCTATAATTCTTACATGACAGAAGTACAAATAACCTGTAGATTAGTACAATCAGGCCATGTCTTCAGAGTGGGATCTTGATCTTTAGTTTATTTTAAAAGCAGCAAAACTCTCATTAGATCTTTTATTGTGCGTCTACATACATGTGTTTGCAGTTAACTCAATGAATCACATGCATACTGATATTCCACTTAACCTTTGATTCCTGAGCGGGTTTGCTCTGCTCCTGCAGACTTTGACCTATTTTTATAATGTTTACCATTTTGACCGACAGTCAGCTGCCCATGGCTTTTCTTCATTTTCCTATGCAATTCAGTTCGGCCAATCTCCACCGTGAGGTCTTTCATGAAGGCCGGCAAGACCCAGAGCTCACGACAGTGACCCCCAGACCAGGGAGTACCTCTCTTGTATAGGCTACTGCCAACATTGCCTGTGCTATCTAAATTTCACTCCTCAAAGCCACCTGGGCTAGCTGCTATTAGCTTTAAGCTAGTCTGAAAGTTTAACTGAAGAGGTCTCGAATAGCTAAAGGTTGTATTTGTGGTTATGCTACATAAAGAAGAAGGAATTCTGGTTTGCCTTTTTTATAAGGTTGCCAGACGACTTCTGTGTTACAGTAATAATATTTAAATGTCTTGTTCTAGTTATAAGGGAGCTGTTTTAAGGTTTTAGTCTTGTTTTATTCTCAGAATTTGTGTGTTATGAGTTTAGAAAGCACTTCAGACCTCATAGGAGAAGTGTCATAGCATAAAGCATGTGCTTTAAAAAGTAGTTATTTGTTGATCTGCAATATCCTTAAAGGAAAATAAAATTACATTCAGCTGACAAATTATTTTAAACAACATTTTTTATTTAATGTTATTTTATTTTATTTTAAAATGCACCCCAGTTTTAAAACTCATAGTTTAGTTGTTCGGGTAAGTAAAATTGAAATGATTCCATGAAAAATTGTATGTTATCATGATCAACATTAAAGTCCAGGTCTGCCTATCAGTTATGACAAGTCTGTTGATCATCTTAAACAACCGAAGTATTTTTTTTTTCTCTTTTTTTCAACCTTGAATTGCTTGAATCAGAAATATTATTGTACAAGATAATGATCGGAAACTTACATCATTGTGGTGCTTGATGTGCATCGGATGACTTTTTTTTTTTTTTTGCTTTCTAGTATCAGTAACCATCAATAACCAATCACAGCCTGTAGCCTTTATTCTGCAGTTCAGTTCAGTATCAGTCCCTCTCATGGTCTGATCTCTGTTTATGCCTGTTGTCTAATTGTGTAATTCAGTTAACGTTGCTAATAGAGAGAAATGTGAAGAAGCAGGGAGCGGTTCTGCTCAGTTCCTCTCGAAAGCAGAATGTGACTGAGCTTAGGACACCATGGAAGCTTTTATACACTGGAGAAGGACTGAAACTGATCCCTCTCACTTTCACTTACAGGAGGCAGAAACAGGATTCGTTCCCAGCGTTCAAGAATTCGACAAGAAGCTAGCTGAAGCTGATGCGTATTTGCAGATTTTGATCGACCAGTTAAAAGTAAGGCTTTTTTATCATAAGACCTCATCGTGACTCAAAAGTGCCTTGTATTTTGAGTTGACAAATCATTTTCTTACATACATTGCTGTCTAATTCCTGTTCTTGTTGCATCTTCTAGCTCTTCGATGAAAAGATTAAAGACTGCAAGGAAGATGAGTCGCGCAGAGTAAGACATGATCTTTTTTATTTGTGTCATCAGAGATGCATCGTCTATCTGAGTCTTTCTGCCAGGCACAGTATATGGCAGAGACATTCCACTTGTATTACAATAATTGTGAGAAACTGGAATGCCCAATATGGCATCTCTATTGAAGGACATCCCACCCTTCCAAATAAAAGAGCCACAGTAAAGTCATGCCTGATCAAAATATAGTGCAATATTATGATATGCTGTTTTAGCTAGTAAGTTAAGCTGTTAACTGAAAACACAAAGAAAGGTAAATGTGTCCATTTTCAGCCTTGGCAATATATTATGTAGTTTAATAGACATTAATATATTTTCATTATTAAGAATAAATAAATTAAGTTCTTTGCATACATTTCTAATCAGGCACTAAATGCAAATCACTCAGTGAGTGCAAATTGACTTAGCCAGTGAAAGGAAGGGGGAGATGGAAAAGGGTGGGAGGTCAGTTAGCTGCAATAAAATGTAAATGCATTGTATATTGTTCACACGCTGAGAAATTCTGAAGATACTTCAAATACCAAATTTGAAGCCAAGCTTTTACCGAGTCACATTTTAAGCCTATTTTAGGGGATGAAACTCATGAGACTGTCATTTGGCCTCAGGCTTTCGTTTCTGCTTTTTTAGGTTTTGTAAAGGTGCATCTTTGTTTTTAATTCAAGGGCATTTCACAATTCTAACTGAAACTGTCCCTTTTCTTGTTCGTCATTGTCCTATTCACAGAAAATCGAGAACCTGAAGGACACGACTTGTGTAAGAGTGTCTGCACCTTCAGCCTCTTAATGCATTTTAGATCTAATTTTGGTAGTGGAATGTATTTTCATTTCTTGTTGTTCTTTTTTTTTTTTTTTTAAAGAGTATGGTAGAGTCCATCAAACACTGTATCGTACTACTACAGATTGCCAAGGTAAAACGCTTGTCTCTTAAGCTTAGAATGTTTATGCACCTGTGTTTTGTCTGCTCACTGTGTTAATATTTATGTCTTGTGCAACCCAACCTGTAATTTTCCATAACCCTTTTAATGTTTATCTTGGCCGGCTTATGAACATTCCAGCAGGTACCATTATTAATGGTTTGGAGAGGTGATTCTCCTACACTAAGGCCATGTTCACACAGCAGCAGAATACGATTGTCAGGCTTGTTTTACAGTGCTAAGTATGGTTATGCTCACATTGACCTAAAAATTTGACCTTGATTGGACTCGTTTGTATCAAATTCATTTACAATTAATTATTTGACTCCTGTAAGTTTTACTATGAATGGGGACCTGTTAGTAAATACAGTTGACAATCCCAAACACTGACTGTGTGAACATATCCTGAGAGATTCAGTAGGTTAAAATACCTTGAGTGACCGTTGTTATTGCTTCAAATTAAAGCAGAGACCATTTGCATCTTTTGTGGCTTTCTCCCAACTGTGGAGTTGCCTTATTTCTCAATTTGTGTTTTCTTTTTCAAAATTTGAAGGATCAAAGTAACGAACAGCAACACACAAACGGACTGATAGTAAGTTTTGACATTCCTTAGCAATGAACTAGTCTAAATCAAACCGTGCTACTGTTCTCTCTTCCACTGAAATCACATTTTTTAAACTGAACCGAGATGTGCATGACCTTGATCGGAGGGCTCCGCCCACCATGTCTACATCTCTCTCTTTTTTTCTCTGCTTTCATTCTTTCTTACACTTCCTGTCGGGTAATTCTGGACCTGTCCTTTCCTATGGTCATGATTTGCAACAAATTTAAACCCCAATACTTCTTTCCATCATTATGATTGAACCAAACTGCTTAAACCCTGCAAACGTAAGACACACATATGTGCACTCAGAATAATCATTGATTTTCCGTTGTCATACATGCTGTTGAACCATATAGGACAAATGGATACGGATCTATTACGACCTACTCAGAGGCTCTCATTGGGTCAATAACCGTCAAGACTGGTGCTGAAGTGACGTAATCACCAACTGCGTTTAATGCACCTCGCAGACTGGTTTAGTTTGAGTTGAATATGGCTAAAAAAGCCAAATCTAAAACCTGTATATAATGTTTTATGCGCATTATAGCAGATCTTTGAACATGAAATGTTGAAAATGCAAACGGTATTTAAGGACTTCAACCAAATGTTGTATTCTTCTGTTTTTGGAATCTTGAGTTTCTTCCTTCTGAATCTGTGATTACCTGAGTGTCTCTGCCTCTTGATTTAATCTCATTCTAGTGTTTATGTATTCGCTGCAGGGCTCTAATTGCTCCAATTGGCTTTTAATTAAGAGCAGCAGCCTCTGTTGTGGTACAACGAAACAAATTATTCAGAACAACAATCTTTTAAAATTCCTTTTGCAGAAAAGCCCCTCCAAACTCATTTCACTCACTCCCCTGCATGCCTTTTTTCCACCTTGTGTGTTTTCAGGTATTGTTACCTCACCGCTGTGCCCTGTGATGTCAGTGTTTCTCTGCTGGGTAGAAATTATTTGTCATTCTGCCTTGGCTATTTAGTGAATGATATGCAGGATTTTGGGATGATCTTGTCGACGTGGGTGTAGAGCTTAATAGCCTTGTGTCTGAGTCTGTGCCGACTGACAGATGCTCGGTGTTTAGTTACCATAAGGCAGAGATTGACTCATAGTGATTTTTGTATATTGAAAAGATTCAGTGTGACAGACACGGGCCACAGCTGTGAGGTTGCTCATTTGGACACAGTGTATTATAAAGCACTGAATCGGATTCACTGATTTACTTCAGATCTTTCTCTTGATTATCAAAACGTCATTGACTCTGTGTAGAAAGAATGTGGATGCATAAAAAGGTTTAAGACAGCATGGTAATGCATGTAACTTGCATTATATGACATCTTATTGACATACGACATAAATTTAATGCAGCCTTATTGAAAAAAAAACTAGTCTTACTGACCCCAGACCTTTGAATGTTAGTGTAAATGGTGCTAATTTCATGATTTTATGTTGTCTTTAACAATAAATAACAATATTTTTACTATTTCATGAAGGAAATCAGAGCATTGAAGGGTCAGCTGTAGATTTTTATTTTCAATAAATATACCTTGTATGTCTGAATATCACTTACAAATAGATATTTAAATTTTTTTCAGCACCTTAAAGAGATAGTTTAACATTTACTTCATTTACTCACTCTTGTGTTGTTCGAAATCAGTATCACAGATTTTCTTATGTGGAACACAAAAGGAAAAAGTGTATCCTGGCCACTCTGAAATGAAAGTTCATTATACTTCCAAAGAGCGTCCATCTTTTGTTTTCCATAGAAGAAAAAAGTCATACAGATTTAGAACAACATTAGGGTAAGTAAATGATGCCAGAATTGTCATATTTGGGTGAACTATCCCTTTAAACAGTTCTAGTAACTGAATATCACAAGTCCTTGTTTCCCCTGAGGATTTCTGTGATAGTTGGGTTGGGCAATGAAACTGAAAACTCCTATGAGAGGGTGTATTTATAACGTGCTTTCCTGTGAGAGCTGTGTTTTGTATCATGTCTGTTGTTCTCTGCAGAGCACCATAAACCCAGTGGATGGGGTATTCCAGCCTGCCCCTCTTAACACGTCTGTAGTCAGTGCCATGCCAACACAGACCACTCTACCCACAGGTGAGCTGTCTTTCTCTCTGTCTCATTCTCCGTTTCATTCCTTAATAGTGTTGTATATATTTTACGCTTATTTTAAAGGCTTCTTGGCATTTGTAGTCCATTGATTTGGAAACTCAGAGATTAGATTTGGTTTGCAAATTTTGTGTGCATTTATAAGGGCCAAGGGCATATGAAGGGTGTGTGTTCATCTGTAGATGGAGCTCAGGTGTGTAAAACTGAACAGAGGCCTTCTTCATTACCCATGGGCCCTGTTGTCACGGTGATGGGCATCCTTCAGACCCCCACTCCCAACAGCACAGGTACGAACCAACAATCAGACAGCCATCAAAGTAAACACGTTAAATGTAACTGAATCTGATTTGAAAGTGTATATCATTTATTTATACGTGTGTATGTTATGCATTATGTGTTTATATTTATTATATATATGCAGATGCTTAAATTCTCATCAACAAATTACCATTAGACTTAATCTAATCTTAGAATGAAGCTCAATTGTTTTTGGAAGAAAACACTGTATTTAGGATGAAGCTAATCTTACTACTCATCCAACGTGAGCAGAAGCAGTATTCCGCTGCAGTGGGGATGCAGGCAGAGCTGTTCTCTCTGCAGTCAGTCTGTTCTCCCCTGACTGTCATTAGTGCTGGGTACAGGGGCTCAGAAAGTCCAGCTTCTGCTGAGGCAGTGCAGGAAGAGCTGAGCTCAGCAAAAACACAGCCGATCGGTAGCACTCTGGACAGCAGTGCAGGAAACTAGGCATAAAACACAGTCAAGAGCTCAAAAGGGCAGACTGTGAATCAGGGTTTCCATTTATATTCATGCCGAAAGTGCTTGCGTTGTAGGCAGGGCTGATTTCATTAGACATCTTTAAGCATTTGAACAGTCTTTGTCTTATCAACACAACCAAACATTTAATTTATTAGGCTGACAGCATCACAGCAATATGCATGCTTTGTCTTGCTAGCCATTTTCTGTTTTGTTGCTACATTCCTGAACTACACACAATTGTGTAATAATTAGTAGCATTTTGAAAGATGTTTTAAAGATGTTTTTATAGATGTTAATGTCCTCAATTACTCTAATAATAAAATAAAAATAAATAAATATAATAAAATAGAAAATCTAAACATGCATGATTTTTCATTACATTTCAAATTAAAATGTATAAAAAACAAAACCTTTGTTGGTCCAACGATTATTCTGAAATACACTTTTTTTTGTGTGCGTGTGCGTGTGCGTGTGTGTGTGTGTGTGTGTGTGTGTGTGTTTAGACTGTGAATGTGATTTGTACAAAGTGTCTGACGTATTTGCAGTTTTTAAAACCAGAGCTTTTGCTTGTGAGATCTGCTATGGATGTAGTGTATTACTAAGCATCATCAAGCGCTAAATATCCGCAACGTGTTTTTGCAGAGTTGAGCAATGTAACCAATCACAGATATCTGTTGATTTCTTGAACGCAATGGCCAATCAGAAACGTTTTGTCAGAATTCACTCACCGCTGAAAGCGCCGCAGTTTTTAAGTGCAGTTTTGCACGCTCGTGAATCATCTCATGACTAAGTGCAGACGCGATTCAAATAAGAGATTCTTTGTGCAGTTTAGAGAGCTTCATTGATTATAACGGAACTTTGTAAGATCGCGATGAACAAAGATGAGTGCATGTAACTTGCATTATATGACATCTTATTGACATACGACATAAATTTAATGCAGCCTTATTGAAAAAAAAACTAGTCTTACTAGTGATAAAGGGAGCACGCTTTCTAGGGTATAATCCATTCAGAATTTGTATGAAACTTTCGTTTTTCAGACACATAGGCTACACCCTGCAAAGTTTCGGGAATGACATCCGCATATTTATGCGGGATTCACTCTCGAAATAGCAGTGATTGGCAATGGACAGAACATAAAATATGTTGATTTAATTCTGGAACCGGTACTGGCCAAACCTCTACAGACAGCGCACGTCCCGAGCGAGATCTAATTCACGGACCAAAAGCGTGTGTAAACTTTATTGAGATCAGGACAAAACAACCGGTAATTTAATTTCATTTCCAGTAACGGACGGTAGAATCTTGCCCCCCCCCCTGACTCGAGAGCCAAATGTCGCCCATGCTAAGCATGTATATGAGCTTATCACCCATGCTATTTATTTGAAGCCCACATGCCAGACTCTTATTCAAAAGCACAAAACCTCAACCCATATCTGAACTATACTGACTGCCGGCCATGGTATTGCTTAAATGAGTGCGGTTAGTCATAGTTCCTCTGCACACTTACATTTATTCTCACATTTATTAATTTAATTTTCTTCCTGTGGTTTTAGGGAGTGGTCCTTCAGCTCCCAGCAGCAGCGTGACTTCGCCCAGTCACATGAACATACCACCCCACAGTGTCCCTGACTTCTCCTATTCCAGCAGTGAAGATGAGTTTTACGACGCAGATGAGTTTTATCATAGCAGCACCTCACCAAAACACTGCATAGAGTGAGTTGAACACACACACAGACACATACCACACCACACGAAAAACGGAAAAGTGTAAGTAATGAACAGAAACACAAAAACTTCTGTATAATTAAAACTCACTGAAGTACTGCTGCACAAGTAAATTATAGTAGCACCTGCCCGCACGCACATTAAGTAACACTGCGTTATGTGAAAACAGTACTGCTTAGAGATAAACACACTCCCATGCACTATTTACTGCAAACAAAAAGAAACACACACTGACCTAATTAAAACAGTGCATGGACTCACTTACACACACAAACTCTAGCTTACATTGCCACAGAATTTATTCTGGAATAAGCTGACGTGATATTCTTGTGTCTCTGCAGTCCGAAGAGATCCGCTGCTGTGAACAGTGACGATAGCACAGCCCTAAAACGGCCAGACACCAACGAATCAATCAACTCCTCCATGTCCAACGGCACCACTGATGCAGGTACACAGAACACACACATGCACGTCCCTCACGTTTGAATTTCCCAAAATGAATCGGAGCAAATATTGTGTGTTTATTTTTATATTTAGATTTTAACACACTTTTAACACTTAACACCAGCACCATCCAAAAACTCACAATATGTATAGTATAATTAAGATTAATTATAATAATAATTATTTAATTATTTAAATATCTATTAAGAATAATTAAGATTTTTCAGTGTTTTTTAAAGAAGTCTCTAATGTTCACCAAAGTTGCATTTATTTAAATACAGTAAATACATTAATATTGTGAAATATTATTGCAATTTAACATAACTGTTTTTTAATTGAATATATTTAAAAATGTAATTTATTCCTGTGATGGTAAAACTGAAATTTGGTTCTGCAGAAATCTGTCTAATGTGATTTGATGTGCAATTATTATTGGAGCTCAAATATTAATAATGGTTCTTATTATTATCATCAATGTTGAAAACTGTTTTTGACCATTAATATTTTCTTTAAAAATGTGATTTTTTTTTTCAGTATTCTTTGATTAATAGAAATTGTTTATTTTAATTTTTTTTTTTATTATTATCATTGTCTTTACTGTCTTTAAAAAGACAGACATCTTTAAAAAGATCAATTGAATGCGTCCTTGCTGAATAAAAGTACTTGCCCCAAACTTTTGAATGGTAGTGTATTATGGTTTTCACAAAAAAATATTAAGCAGCAAAAACTGTTTCCAACACTGATAATAAGAAATGCAGTTGAGTTCACCTTGTGTGTTTCACATTCACTGTTTGCTTAGTTCATTGGTTGCTGTGTGTTTTTCTCAGATCAGTTTGACAGTCATGATGAGAAAGATGATGATGGCGAGGGTGAATCTGTGGAAGAACACAAAAGTGTCATCATGCATCTGCTATCTCAAGTGCGATTGGGCATGGATCTCACCAAGGTAAACACAAACAACCTTCTCTTTTTCACATTCCCATCTCTCTTTTTTTTTTTTTGTGTGTATCATTTCTACCGTTCAATCCGTCTTTGTCTTTCTCAGGTTGTCTTGCCGACATTTATCTTGGAGCGGAGGTCGTTGCTGGAAATGTATGCAGATTTCTTTGCTCACCCGGATTTGTTTGTAAGGTAACGCTGGTGCTGTCTTGTCTATAGATCTCACAGCTGTTCTACCATATGGACTTATCATTCTTAAGTCTGATTACAGCAGCACTGTAATAACTGATGAATTTAAAAGTAGCAATGCTACTAACTTGACTACATTTCGGAGTAGCCAGACAGTAGCTGAGCTGTTTCCAATGTACTGTTCTAGTAATTAACTGTTGACAGAATATTGCATTGCTATTTTATTATATATCTCATGCAGCTTTGCAACCAAATGAGCTGAGGAAATAATCAAACATGCTCTGCTAGGATATCTTTGCTCTATGAAATAGAAGTGTGATTCATTCTAAGTTGATTTGTTCAAACAGTTCATTTTAATGAACTCGTGATTGGCACATTTTGCAGTATTGCGGAGCAGCAGGATCCAAGGGACCGCATGGTGCAGGTGGTAAAGTGGTACCTCTCAGCCTTTCACGCTGGTCGGAAAGGATCTGTGGCCAAGAAGCCCTACAACCCCATTCTGGGTGAGGTGTTCTTCTGTCACTGGGACCTGCCCGAAACAGAGGATCCTGCTTCTTCTGTGAGTGTAGGTTTGAAGGTCTAAAAAAGCCAAAGTTTGCAGTATCTTCTATAACAGATTTATTTGTTGCCACTCCATGTATTATCATTTTTCTTATCCATCACTCACTGTCTGTCTTTCTAGGAGTCTGTATCAGATGGGCCATTGCCGTGGAGTAGCAAAAACAGTGTGTCATTTGTGGCAGAGCAGGTTTCTCACCACCCTCCTAGTAAGTGCTCAACTAACTAGTTACTAACTTTATCCCTGAGTATGCCTAACTAATTTAATTTATCATAACCACCAGTAGAAGAAAATGGATCCAATTTACAAGTGTTAGACTTGAAGAACCTCAAACCCCTTTCTCCCCTATCCTTTTCATCCACTTCCTTCATCTCACCCATCCTTTCTTTCACTCAGCTCACTCAGAATGGTCAAAAACATCATATAATTTTATCATCATTTGAATTATCTCCGGGCGACTGGTACAATGGTCTCAGTCTTACAAGAAGTAGACTAAAAGGAAATACAGATCCTACGAGTTTAGAAATATGTGTTTACTGTTGAGGGTGTGCCATTTCCCAGTGTCTTTCATGCAAATTACCATCTGTCCCCACAAGGTGTAAACTTTCCACGTCTAGGACTTGATCAATGCACATTCCAATTGTTAGATCCTGTCTCCATTTGGGGGATGTTTGTCTTGGTCTGAGTACTTAAGGAAATGTTGCAAGAAGATCAGGGCTTCTGTAGTCAGATGAGCTCGTAGTGTGGAGTATGTGTATATACACTCCATACTATGTATTTTTTGAAGTCAGGTATGCATCTTTTACTCTTAGATTTATCTTTGAGAATTTGATGTCTTGTATTGATTTGATTTGAGATCTATGTAATTGGCATAATACATATTTACCTGACTGATAATAAATTGTTACATTTGAATTGATTCTGTTTACTGTGAGATTATTGACTGTAGTAGATTACGTTGTATCCTGTTACCGCATTTTTGCGTCAGGTTAGTAACGGACTAAAATCTAGTTGAGATGGAGCATAGGGCACACCAACTGGATCTTCAATGATCTGGCTAACACTTGGTATTAGTTCAAGTGTACTTAGAATGTAAGGGCTAAAAGGGAATTTCCATTTAGGTCAACTGCATGTTGTTTGACCAACCTAAATAGGGTGGGCCTAACCTCTTGTTTACTGTAATGTTACTCTAGCTAAGTGTACATGTGAAACCATGGCACGACCAAACCAAAGCTACTATCAGAGAAAGTAATGTTGTTTGGCTTATATCATAGTAGTGGTCGTGACCTCTGACTAGAGATAATGTTGCTTTATTCAAGTGTGTACAGATCTATAGGGACTTAACATAAGTACTTTTAGAATGAGCAAGCATAGGGGTGGCCGTTACCTCTGTCTAATAACCATGGTCCACTAACAGCCGGTGCGAGATCTCTGAGAGACATGAGAATCTGGATGAACGAGCACAATAAGAGCAAAGAGTTAACTAAAATAATCAAGTGTCAGAATAATATTTAGAAATTGACAAACAGAATGGATAAATAAAAAAAAGAAATTTGCATTTTAACCTAAATTCAAGGTCATAATAAAATGGAGTCAGATTAGAATTTAATTGAAATTAAATTACTTTGCACACCGAAAAGACAGAACACGCAGGAAACCTTCAGCCACCATTGGGCCAATTGGGTGGACCTTACCAAAGTTACCAGAAATGACCTCAATTATCTGTTGCTGGTACTGAAAAGTAAAATAATTATTTGTTTAATTAGTAATTTATTTATTAAACTTGTTTAAAATAAACAGTCAAAAGTCAAATAATTCCAGTTGTTTAATTAGTGATTTTATTTATTAAACTCATTTACATTTTATAATGTTAATGCAATAATCTGTTGTGATTTTTGGGTAAATGGACATATTCTGTCACCTTTGTCCTTCTGCAGTATCTGCGTTTTATGCTGAGTGTTTCAGCAAGAAAATCCAGTTCAACGCCCACATCTGGACCAAATCGAAGTTCCTTGGAATGTCTATTGGTGTCCATAATATTGGTCAAGGTAATCAAGGACGTTGTTAAGTGGTGATTAATACACATTAGTGCTATTGCGGTGCTTAATTGTCCTCTCCTGTCTACCGTAGGTTGTGTGTCTTGTCTTGAATATGATGAGCACTATATTCTTACTTTTCCCAATGGCTACGGGAGGTAAGCATTGTTCTGTTTTATCACTTTATCACACTGATGTATTTTAGATGTTTAGATTTCTAGAGGGGGAAGTGGACAGAGCGTCTCATCCATCTCACTGTGCTCCCAATAGGTCAATCCTCACTGTTCCATGGGTTGAGCTGGGTGGAGAGTGCAATATTTCCTGTTCCAAATCTGGCTACAGTGCCAATATAGTTTTCCACACCAAACCGTTCTATGGAGGAAAGAAGCACAGGATAACTGCTGAGATACTGTAAGTCAAAGTGATACTGTCTATAAATTCATTCATAAAAATCACTTTTAAAGCAGCACTTGAGTCAAAAGATTTTAAGTAAATAAATGTCACTTCATTAATCCATGAGATGAGTTTTCTTTCGTTATTACAGTAAATTCATGCAAAGAAATGTATATGCAAGTGCGTTAAGATTACTGTCACATGAGAGTATGTAATAAAATCCTCATAATGTTGTCCTTTTTAGTGCTCCCAGTGATAAGAAGTCATTCTGCTCCATAGAGGGAGAGTGGAATGGTGTGATGTATGCAAAGTGGGCTACGGGGGTAAGTTTGATCACTAGAAAACAAGAAAAGAAAGTACATTCAAGAATACATTTGAAGTAACATATTTGTTTTCCTCCCAGGAAAATGCACTATTTATTGACACAAAGAAAACTGGCATTGTTAAGAAGAAGGTGCGGAAATTGGAGGACCAGTTGGAGTATGAATCCAGAAGGTGTGTAGGTCTGCGTTTTCTGACAAGTTTTTTTTTTTCTCTCTGCTTTCTAAATGTTGTTTTCTTCATAGAGCCTCTGAAACAGGTTTGCCGTAATGTGAAACATCTCCGAAGTCCATTTTCTCTCAAGCTACAGTGCAGATTCAAACACTTTTTAATCTTGGACTTGCCTCCTTGACAAGTCATGGGAAACCAGCCTTAAAAACCCATTTGAATTTTGTGTTTGTAAGAATGAAGTTTAATCCCTCAGGTTCTTAAATCTAATTTGTATTACCGAATGAGTCTTATTTTCCCATTTAATCTGGGAGGGTTTTTAAAGTGATTTGGAAAGTCCACATTGAAAATCTGCAGTTGAAATTTCCATTAAATGTGGGTATGAACAAAGTTTATAACAGTTTTAGGATTTCGCTATTTATTTTTTTTTATTACATTGTGTATAATTAAAAATAAATATTTCAGGTTCTGTTCTACTACTAGGTCACAAATCAGATTCATACATTTGTGTCATTGATCTTGTGAAATTATTTGTACAGATGGTCAAATGTTCTTGCTTCCATTAAGGCTCAAGATTCTCATTGAATCATGCAGCTTGAGTGTTTAGGGGTGCAACGATTCACTCGTTTTCTCGATGTTGAATCGTGAATCGTCTGTTTTGGACAGTAATCGATTTAAAACGCTAAGAATCGAATGAATTGCGATTTCTTTAGCGATTCAATGCTTTCATAATATATACACATTAAATTACTACAAGCACGAATTAATGGAGACCTTGAACAGTGTTGGTGCCTCGCATCTCTCCTTCACGCGTTCCACTATTTACCGCCTGTGACTGTCACAGGATTGCGCTCGCGCTCAGCAGCTGATGTGTGATCTCTCCTTAGTTCTCGTGGCCAGTAATGCTAAAGTGAATTAGTTTTGCTTTTCTGTAGTTTTTCAATGGCTCTCGGTCATACCGACGACGACATTACCTGAGCAGTCGAAGGCTGCGCATTTATTGCATGGACGGAGCAAAAATTTAAGTGTCTAAAGCATACGCACAGTTCCATTGAATGATAAATGTGTTTTAACAATGTCCTTCAACCGAATGTACGAAGGAAACTTAAAATAACCATAGCATTAACAACAACCTTGAAATAAGAGCACGAGGTTTATCTGATAACCTAAATTATTACTAATGCTTTAGTAAACAGACATCGGGCACGTTTTCTTTCAGAATCATCATTCGCCGATGGAGAGGAAAAGTTAAATACTATAGCATTTTATTTTATGAAAATGAGATAAAGAAGTTTTCGGGTGAAAGAGAAGTGATCTCGCGCTCATAGACGTGCCTATATCTGTGCTAAACTGTATAAAAAGCAGAATGAACTGAAACATTAAGACAATAAACAGTAAATAAATAAATACAATTTATGAATGATGCAGTGCTAATTGACATATAATTTATTACAGTAGCCTACAGAAACTATAAAGTATATATTTTTTACCTTATTCTGTGCAAAAAAATGGAAATAATTGTTTGTAGTATATAAAACAATAATAAAATTGCCATTAGGATAAAATTATATATTTCAAATTATTTATTATTGTCCAGCAGTGTATTTGATTTCTTATAGCAAATTCAAAGTAAGCGATAAGAAAAGAATTCCTTGTAAACAAAAAAAACAAAAAAAAATCATTTAAAGAATTTAGGGGAAGCATTTAAATAATCCTGTGAATGCACTTAAAGAATGCAGAATTGAATCGTTTATCGAATTGTGAATCGACTCGAATAGAATCGTTGTGAATTTGCAAAAATCGTTCTTGAATCGACTCGAAAACCTATGAATCGTGAATCGAATCGATTCGCTGTCTACCCAAAGATTCACAGCCCTAGTGTTGTTGCTATCAAAGCAAAAGATGAACAAAGCAAATAAAAATAAATTTTCTAATTAATCTTCAACTTATAGCTGATAATATAATTTGCAATGGGAAAATTCCAAGTACAAGCATTTTGACTAGTGGACTTTTGGAACACACAGTATTTAATTCCCAGTTCAGTTTTGTTTGAACCTGACTTATTTGCTGATCTTCAAAATGCTTGGTTATTTTTGTGCCGGCTTCTCTGGGGACCTGCTGAAGTGATGTTTTTTTTTTTCTGCTTGGGTACCTTTGTGAGATGATCTGATGCAGACCACTGTTATTTTTTCTGTCTGGCTGTCAGTTTGTGGAAGGACGTGACAACGAACCTGAAACTGAAGGACATTGATGCTGCGACGGAAGCCAAACACAGGCTGGAGGAGAAACAGAGGGCGGAGGCAAGAGAAAGGAAGGAGAAGGAAATGCAATGGGAGACGAGAGTGAGTGTTTTTACTTTCTCACAAGCATATGTGAAGGGGAAATGTGCTGTGAGAAATAATGAGATTGAAATATGACTCTGATAAATGGTCCTTAATTGGTTCCTGTTGCTTTTAAGCAGCATGTTCTTACACTGAACGTTACCCATGATGCACATAGCTGGATGTTTAAAGAGCCCAACAGTGCCTGACAGTTTTTCAAATTCATTTTCTCCAAACATGCTTCAGTTTTTACCCAAACCAACCAACTCGTGTTGAATTCTGGAATCAGACAGACCTGTATTTACTCTAGAAGCATATACCCTCATTTAACCTTTGAGCTCATGGTAGGCCCGTCTTGATTTAAATGTTATTGCCTGATTGCATGGATTCTATTGACTCTGGACAATGGATTTAAAAACATTGTAAAATGTGTTCAACTCAAAGCATATGTATATTAGCCAAAATATTTCATAAAGGAACATTCAGTTCACATCTTGAATCATACCACTGAGCTCTATTCAAATTATAAGGATGTAGCCTCATTACAGTCTTGTTTTTAGCAGGAGCTATTTTGCTGAAAGGTTCTCTGGAGATATTAGAACATGCATTAATTTAATGTAAAACACCTTTGATGAGCATCTTGATTCACATGAACTGATCTGCCTTTTGTTTCTCTGCAGCTGTTTCATGAGGATGGTGAATGCTGGGTCTACGACAAGCCTCTCCTGAAGCGACTAGCATCGCAACGACACTGAGGCCGTTTCCAAAACCACAGAGTCTAGAAAACAGAACTCTCTCGCAAACCATTTTTCTTATTCAGCCTTGGAATGACTAACGAATGAACCCTTACAGCTTTGCATTTTCGAAGTTTGAACGAATGACAAGGAGAAAACACAAACTTAATCTATACAAATAAAAAAATAAACCTCCCTGCTCACTAGTTCAACACTTCCACCTCTCTATCAACCTTTGAGCAAGAAAAAACACCACGAACACACAGAAGACGTGATCAGAAGCCCTTTAGCATCACAAATCAAGCAAGCGGCAAAATAAGAACGATCCCAGCGGATGTGTCTCTCTCTCTCTCTCTCTCTCTCCTACTCCTGAGGGGTTGAGGGGTTTTTATCGAACAAACTCTGAAAACTACAGCGTTCTGTATCTCAGGGAAGTAGTGGGCTGATGATTGAAGGCTGTATCTTAATGTTCGAAAAGCCTTAACGGTGGAACCACAAAATAAACAAAATGAGAACTTGGTTCACATACTGCTAGCTACAGCTGTTTATATACATGTAGAACAGGGGTGCCCAAACTCGGTCCTGGAGGGCCGGTGTCCTGCAGAGTTTAGCTCCAACTTGCCTCAACACACCTGCCTTTAAGTTTCTAGTATGCCTAGTAAGAGCTTGATTAGCTGGTTCAGGTGTGTTTAACTGGGGTTGGAGCCAAACTCTTCAGGACACCGGCCCTCCGGGACCGAGTTTGGGCACCCCTGATGTAGAAGATATGATATATTCTTGTTTTCCTTTTATCTTCTTTCTCTAGGGCAATAGTAACTGTTTGAATATACATACATGACGGCAACCATTCCCTTTATGTTCCACTGCATCGTGAGTCTTTTAAGAGGATGCAGTTTCATGCTCCGAAAGCCACAATGAGCAAAAGTTACTATTTACATGACGGGGCTGAAATTTGAGACAACTTTGCCATGGTTGTATTCCATTCCAATTATGTTTTTTTGTTTTTTGGGAATGATTTGATATGCTCTCTAGAGCCTCGGGGAGGCTGTTTTTTTTTTTATACATTGCTGCTTAATTGTCCACATAATTTATCAACTTAGTATAAAATTGAACTGTCCAGTAGGAAATCGTAAAGGTGCACAATAAAACCATTTGACAAATCTGTTCTTATCCTGCTGTGGTCAAGCAACGTTATCACAAATTGCCCTGCAATCTCTCTTTCTGTGAAATGTCACATTTTAATCCGAAATAAATATATACGTTTCATATAGTCATGCATCGGAAAGATTTGATTCTCTTGAAAGTAAAAGTAAGAGTCTGTGGATGCATGGAGTCACTCAGGTCAGTGTTTTCTCCTGGAATGACGTCTATACATTGTGTAACATTATCAACAAGCAAAATCAAATTGTATTATCCATTTTTTCTGAGATGCAGTTGGAGCAAAACTGGCAAAACATTATTACTGCTACAACTTTAAAAAGCCACTTGCTCTTCATATTCTGTAGTGAATTGGAGGCCTTATGCAGTAAATTTCACTTTCGCCTAGTATTGCTTTCCAGAAGCAATCCCAAAAAAATTTTCTTTGCCTGACAACAATTGATTGTACCAGATTTCCATGTATCAAAGTATAATATTAAATCTCAGTGAGACCAATTTGTGTGAGAAGGTTGAGTGAATTTCTTGTTCCAAACATCCAGAGTTGAATGATGCTGTAGGTGTTCTCTTCATTTGAACTACAGGGATTTGATGCATTTTGATTTTCAAAGTAATGGGAATTAATTAACTTCTAAAGTCGTAGTTAATGTATGTTTTCTCTAGGTATGTTCTGCTTTTTCTAGTAACTATAAATTGGTGTTTAAAAATTCTTATTCAGAAATGATGAATGACTGGGAAAATCATGAAAAATTGTGGGAATTCTTTGGTCAAATGTGTGGGAAAGTGATGTATAAAAAGTACACTATTTCACAATAACTCCATTGAAAATAAATCTTGTTTGCTATAACCTTTCATTACCAAGAGATATTGTATATGTACACATATAATGTATGTAAGTAAAACGTACGTGAATGTCCTCAATATAGAAGTGCTAATGGAAACTTGTTTTGCACACAAACAGAATGGTTATAAATCACTTTCATGCATTGCTAAAAATCTCTTCGTCTAGAAAGTTTTTTGTGGATGCAGTCTTTACAAAATTCTTTATTCTTATTCCGTTATTGAAAGCAATTACTGATCAAAAGGTGTGATTTGCAGAAACCACTATTTCTGATTATACTAGATGAATAAGCCATTTAGCGAACATTGAGCCACTCATCTCACTGGCATTATTGGACTATTTAAATGAGTAAATATTAGCGTCACAATGTGCCAGTATCACTGAAGGCAAAGGCACCACAGCGCCACCTGGTGTCATTACAGTGTACTAATATAAGCAGAGGAATTTCCCAGAAACCATTGCGCTGAAACGGTATATAAACCAAAGCGACGCGTTCATTCGGTCTCATTTGTCTGCGGCGCTCATGGGGAATGTAGGTAATTCATTGACTCGTTTAATCGCAGTAGTTTAATATAATGTTGGGTGTTTTTCTGTAATGTAGATGTTTGTTGTGTAACTGCCTTAAGAAGTTGTGTTTTTTTTTTTGTTATTTTGCTTTAAATTCTGGAAAAGGAGTCGCTAATTCGAAGTGCGGTCCACGTGTTATAGGCCTCGACTGAACGTTAATATGCTTATTGTAACTAAATTATCTTTGCTAATATGCTTTAAATAAGTTTTGAGTGAAAGGTTTTAATATTAAATTGACTAAACCAATTAACGTTTAATTCAATATTGGTCCACGTGGTATGTATGTGTTGTAGCGAATCATTTTTTAAATATTTCTATATTTTTTATTTCCAGGTGTAATGCTTTGAGGCCTTAGATAAAGGGTGACAACAGGTGTATATACCATAAGTCTGGTTTTAAATGCATTTTGAATACTTTGCTTGTGATGAATAAAAGAAGAAATAAGAGCAGTGGACAGGAGTGGTTTCTGAGAACATTTTTACACTGAGGCATTGTGAAGTTTTTAATTGAGGATGTAATTGACGTTTCAGCGTTATAATCCGCTTTATTTATTTTTTTGCTTGCAGGAATCGAGTGGATCTAGAGTAGTGTCCACGGTATTTATTTATTTTTTTTTTCTCTCGGAGATGGAAGAAATTTAACAAGTCAATTACTTGACTAACACTTAATTTGTCCATGTTTAGTTCATATGCCTATAATGGCCTCTGTTTACTTGTATGATGATTTAAGTGATGTTTGTAGGGACATCTGAGTATTTGATGAGCCAACATCTCTGACAAGTAAAACGGTTGTGTGCGCGTGCCTAGTCTTTGTAAACTTCAGTTTTAAATATTTCTATATTTTTATTTCCAGGTCTAATGCTTTGAGGCCTTTGATAAAGGGTGACAACAGGTATATACCATAAGTCTGGTTTTAAATGCATTTTGAATACTTTGCTTATGATGAATAAAAGAAATAAGAGTAGTGGACAGGAGTGATTTCTGATAACTTTTTTTTTTCTGAGGCATTGTAAGGTTGTATTTATTATTATTATTATTATTATTATTATTATTATTATTATTATTATTGTTACCATTTAAACTAGTTATCTTTTTACTGCTTGCAGGAATGTGAATCTGGAACGCTGTGTGAAAGGTATATTGTTTTATGTGTCATGCTTTAATGTAAATAAGTGTGTATGATGATCTATTTGCTACTCTTGAGTTTACGTTGATGAAACTGCAACCACCAAGTTCTTATCTGATGCACAGTGTTTGAATATCATGTGGGTGTTGCAGGTGTGCTCTTGTTAATATTTGCCCCCCTTTTTTTTTTTTATTCTTAGGAGCATGTGCAGATGAATTGAACGGTAAGCTTTTAAAAGTGCCTGCAAGGCTGCAGTCATTCACTGTTTATGATGATCGTTTTATAAAACGATGGGAATCTCTCTGAATTTAGACTGAAAGACATCTGTGTACTGAAACAGTGCTTGTTTAAGACCTTATCCTCTTTGCCTTTGTTCTGTACTAACAGCATTTCATTATTACAGGTGGTTTAAGATGGTACAAGAGATGTGAAGATGCCTTCAGCTGAGCACGGTATTAATTTAGGATTTTTACTAAAATTTCTGTGGTGCAAGTGATGACTGCATAGTTCAGCAGAAAATCCATGAAGAACGCTAAGCATTGTCTTTCGCTCCTAGCTGATGCATCACTGGTGTTCTATTGCTATATCTTAGTAGTTGCTTTGTCTTACACTTGTTTCTCTTTGCAGCACGACTTCTGCAGGGATTCAGGCATATCTGGTGAGTTTGAGAGTTTGAAATTGCTATATCTATATGATGCAAATGATGACTGCATAGTTCAGCAGAAAATCCATGAAGAACGCCAAGCATTGTCTTTCGCTCCTAGCTGATGCATCACTGGTGTTCTCTTTCTGTAATTTAGTTATTGCTTTCTTACACTTGTTTCTCTTTGCAGCATGAGTTCTACAGGTGTACAAGCATGATTGGTGAGCTTGAGGTTTTAATCTAAATTTATTTATTTAAAAAAAAATTTGCCAGTGGTTTAACTTTGGTTTCCTCCATCTTGTTGCAGCTTTCCCTCTATTTCTGGCTGTGGAAAGATCAGCAGCCGTCTGATTGTTTTTCAGGGTAAGTAGTTAACTTGAGTTGTGACTAGGGATCTTCATTTCGGTTATTTTTCCTAACTGACGCTCGTTAACTGACTGTTAAAGGGAAACCGAATGAAAATTAGCTTCGGGGGGTTAAGTAAAACAAGCTAATTTTCATTTTTGGGTGAACTAACCCTTTAACTGTTAACCGAAAAGATTTTTTTTTTAAATTAGAAGGGATAAGTGTCTGACCTGTTTAAAAAAAAATAAAAAAATAAAAATTTGTTCCCCGGGGATTAATTTTACATGTGCCAAAAGCAGCAAACAGATTTTATTTATAGATAGAATGAATAGGCCTATACGAGAAATATTTTTACTTTAATAATAAAATTTAAAAAATGAGAGTGCAAGTAGCCTAGTATGCAGCGTTTCGGTTCAATTTTGTGCTGCGTGAAAGGAAACAGACAGCAGAAAGCGGCTTCCTATTTTTCTTTAGGCTTATTTTATAAAAGCACAAATTTGTTTTTATTGTGAATGTACACAAAGGCGAATCTTTCACAATTCTGATTATCTTTGACTAAAAGGAGTAGTTGCTTCCACTGTTGGAAGGGAAAATTCAAGTGTTCGCTCCGGTGCCGCACGCACAGTTAAGCATTGCTACCTTGACAATGCAGCCTGTTCTTTATCATAATAAAATAGTCAGTCAAACATATGGGGAAAAAAAACTATGTAGTAAGATCTGTGCCGTTAAGTGTTACCACAGTACCGCTGTGACGTCATTTTGTTTTAAGTGGATATTGGACCGCGAGTGAAGTACATAATAAATAACGACATTCAAATATTGGGAATACGGAAACATTTGATTGTGTTGAATGAGAGACCCAACGTTGGTTTCAGTTTCGTCTTAGCCTAAATTTGTTTTTGCTGGTTTATATTGCTATAGCTTATTTTTAATTATCTAAATGCTGTTAATTGAAAGGATTTCTTGAATGAGGGGAACTAAAATAGTCTAGTAATTTTTACAGTGTTTATTATAATGTTTGTAAACGGTGTCGGCATTAGGCATATATTTCTGACTGCAGTTCGTGTGGGGTTTTTTTTATTTTTTTTTTAAATCGCATAGCGTATTAACCATGCAGCAAAGCGTTTTTTAAATATTGATAAATTACTGAAAGTTAAATGACTTTTAATAGTTTAACTGATTGTATTAATCGGTCAAAATTCTTGCGGTCGGTTAACCGGTTATACAGTTAAAATGAACATCCCTAGTTGTGACTGGTACCAAGGTGGTCTCAAACTGATGAGTTTGAATCAGGTCTCTGATCTTTTTGAGGACATGTTAAAACTTTCTGACTTAAGACCATGTAATTGTGCGTTTAACTCCTTAAAAGCGGGATGGTGAGTTTAATTTATCCTTTTGTCTCTCTTAGGACAGCATGATGTTGGGATCAGTGCTGATGGCAGTCACTGTAAGTATTGTATTCCTTTTGTAGTTGTAAATCTGTAGCTCTGACCATTGTGATGAATCTGGTGTCCACTGACTTTTGCCATGGAGGTTGGATATTAGCTCTGGCTGATCAGGTCACATGTTAAAACCCTGGTCCTCATGGATGTTTTCTGTTCTAACAGGTGGGTGTGTGTGCTTATTGACAGGTGTGGTGGTGACTGCTCCTTTGTGCCATGTGAATATGAATGGGGCGTGTGTTTAAGGTTGGTTTTTGTTTGCAGACTTTCCAGTGTCTTGTAGTTGGGTTTTGTGATGCTTTCCAAATGTTTGACCTGAACACACAATGTGGCTTTGACTTAAACCCAGGTCCTGGATTGGGGCAACGTGTTGATTGTGACCAATTAACCAATGGGTCTCTTTTTAGGGAGCTCAAGATTATCCAGGATGGCTCTGGGAAAAACCATATGGTATGTTTGTGACCATGTTTTCTTTCAGTTCTTACAACCTGTGATGACATGATTCTGCCAAATGAATCTGCTGATTATATCCTTTTACCGTTCCATATATCTGAGGTTGACTTGACACTACTTTAACCTTAATATTTGCACTTGTGCTCTTCTAAAGTCTCTTTTGTTTTTCTTCCCTTGTAGAATGATTTTACCTGCATCTGACTCTTCTGAATGATGTTCCAGAGAGAGCTTCGATTCTTGTTTTCTGATTTGAAGTCACTGGTCTCTTTTTGAGCAATTAAGTGACCTTTTCAAAGCGGTCATCTATGTTGTTACAACTGTCAAGTTTGTGAAGTGTCATTACTTCAATAAAGCCGTTAAATCAAAGGTGTGTCTGAAGTTAAGGTGTTTGATGTATGATTGTATCTGGGTTGGTTAATTGACTTTATCAATGACTAACAGGCCTTTTAGGCATTTGGTAGCATGCAATATGACCTGTTTTTATACTTTAAAGTTGAGCACTGATTAATTAAACCTAAGCTATGGAAGCCGATTTCTTACATATCCCTTGCAGCTCAAAATTGATTTAAGTCGCGACAGGACTTGTAAGTTGACTCGTGACGTTTTGTCATTTTCCATGCGTTTAATTTGATTTAAGATTTACTGAAGCATAATTCTGTGTCGGAAATGGGTTTCCATAGTAAGTGCCACGTTCTCAGTATTTGGAATGGCAGCATCTTCATGGGACGGAGCATTTACACTTAGTTTGCCTGATTTTGAAAGATTTACAGTTAAGTAGCTAACATCGGGTCTACAGGAGCGGTGATATCTTATGTAAGTTCTACCTCGCATAAAAGTTTTTTGCGCTTGGTCAATGAGCTGTTGCCACATGACAACGTCTGTGCTACTTCAACATGAAGGTAAATCTAAATGACTCGGATGATATTTAATGTATGAATTTTAGTAGTTCTAATTTAATAGCCATTGGTTTGGTGATGCAAAAAAATGTAGCAGACCCATGTTTACTGCGCTAAGCCTCGCCCATTTTCTACACCGGTTTATTCTATCCGCTCATTCTGCTATTCCAAAGAAGACCGTGACGTCGGGTTTCAGTTCTGAGCATTGAGCGCTTATGCGGCCTGCACTCGATGAGTCTTGGATGTACATATGAATGGACGCTACAATTATTACATCTAATAGACTAGCTCAATGTTACAGTCTTTGCGAGATCTATGTTTCCGGCGGCACCGATGTTTTCAATCGTAATCTTGCTCTCATTCCTGGCTGTTTCGGCTGATGCGGATTTTTTCCAGTTCGACAGCATTTCAAATGTTTCTACCTATTATTTCAATTACATCTATTGCAATATTTGGGAAGGAGACTGTCAACCACACCAGGATGATGCGACCCAACAAGGTAAAGATAGAATAGTGTGTATGTGTGTGTGTATATATAGATATATAGATATATAGATATATATATATATATATATAGAGATATATTTTAATATATGCTATAGTAAAATGTTTATAATATAAACAGACTATATATATTTTACATAAAATGTAAAATTGGAATGGATAACCAACGTGTCGCCTTATTTTTTCTGCAAATTATATTTTCATGAATGCGTTTTTAAAAATTCAAACAGAATAATGTATAACTTATATGATTATAATCTGTGAATTGATTATTAATAAATAATGAAATATGGTTAATAAAAAAAAAAAAAAAAGAATTTTAAGTTGATTTGGATAAACTTTTTCGAGTCTCTCCTTAAAGAATGGCAAAAAAAAAAAAAATGGCGTTTGTAATTGTAATTTAACTCACTGCAGGTTTATGTAACGCTTCTCTTCTCAGTGCCTACTGGGGACATTTGGTCAGGGTTTCCCCAGTACTACACTGGCATGCTGACTGCTTGGTACTGCAGCCTGGGTCAGTGCTGTGATTCAGGAGACTGTAGGATTACAAATAATATCACAGGTAGAGCCAGCCATCAACATCATGCATACATTATTTTATACAAATATTTTACAATCGTGGAAATCCTTGAAATATCAGAAAGTTTGAACAAAAATCATGGAATAGTCTGAACATTTCTTGAAATTGATTTTTTTTTTTTTTTTTTTT